GTTTCCAAATATTAATAACCTCCGAAATTTATATAACTATGCCGGATTGGACAAGCTCTTTGAAGCAGTTGTACTCAGAAATTAAATCCACCGCTTTCTGAGTTGGCTCGTCAGATCCTCTTTTCCTTCTGTTTCTTCTTGTAGCAGTTCAAGACGTTGGCGGGTAACTCCTGAAAGCTGTGTTTCTTTCTCCTTGTCATCACCTGCAACGAATTAACAACAGTTCAGTGTCCGGTCCGCAAATCAAATCAAAAACCTAGGCTACAACTTCCAGCCTGGACGTTGATGTCTTAATACTGACACATTGATAGGTTGGTTCATTTATTTAAATGTACATAAAAATGGTAGTCATTAATCAAAATGAATAACATTATTTTATATTTATGATCAGTTCCTACAAATAAATATAATACATTTTCCAAACTAAAACTCAGAACTAACATTCAAAGTGTTCCAATATCTAGTTTTGCTTTATTATTAGTTCTTCAGATGATAAAACCATTGATAAAACCAATCGATAATCAGTATAAAAACCTTCTGTTTGGTCAGGAAGTGAACACATTTTCTTGTGACACACACAAATGAAGGAGGAACATGTATAAGGAAGGAAGCACAAGCTTTTAATAGGCCTTTTTCACAGAAATCACCAAATACACACAGACACACACGGAGGAATACAGAAGAATTAGACGCACAGTAATGAACATCAAAGGGGGTTTTCTTTCTATCAGTAACATCACTAAATGTTATGAGTGTGTGGTGCATATTCCCTCATATTTAAAACCACGGCTGGTGAAATACATATGTCATTTATTTTCTAATAGATAATCTCATTGGTTTAAAAAGAACACGTTCATGGTGAAAGAACAACAACATTTAAAACAGCTATTTCCAGGAATCCCTAATTCGCAATAAATGATAAATAGATAAATACATAAACCTAAATATTATAAAAAATATATATAAATAATCTAATTAGTGATCTAACAATACATCATGAATCGATATGATACAAATGAAAAATCGTGTATCAAGGCATAAGGACATCTTATGTCCTTATGTCACTGGTCTTACCATGAGACTACACACTCTAGTACAGCAGATGACACTATGCACCTAAAAACCATTTCAGTTGGTAATGGTATTTTTGTATAGTTCTTACAAATAAAGGATCATCCTCGTTGGTCATATTTGTCTTTAGCTCATTTTGTATAAAAAATAAAATCATGATTAAATGGTATTGTGAACCAAAAAAAAAAAAAAATTTGAATACCGCATTGTAAATTGAGTGTCTGTGATCAAAGAGTCTGTGGTAAGTGCTGTCTCATGAAGAAAAGGTAACATGAATGGACAGAGGAGGAAAGTTAGACACAGGCTGAAAGCAGAGCATTAGCAGACAGTTTGAGCTTTCATTTCTCTCAGTTGGTTACATTTTTCCAATGAGACCACTGGCTCCAGTTGGACATCAACAGCGAATCTCTGGAGCGGACTCTTAGCTGATCGATGCCCTGCGGTATCACGTGAGACAACGAGAATCGGCTCTGGAGTCCAAAATGAAAGGTCACATGTTAAAGAAGCAAGACTACAAAACAAAGTTTGGTAAAACCAAATGCTAACTTGTCGTTAGTTTTTTTACCGTGCCATCATCTTGCAGAATGTATTCAATCTGATGCTCCAGACAGAAGAAACTGTGGGGAGTGGACCAGTTGGCTGGTGGTGCGATGGTCACACTCAGGTTCTGTTTCACCTTGTTACAGGAGACGATCGTGGGGATACCAGGTTGAACTACAGCAGACAACATAGGTCAACATGTAAGGTAGTCATTTGTAAATAGGGATGTCCAATAATATCCGCTAACTGATAATATCGGCCCATTATTAGCATATTATGTAAGAATCATTCACGGTTTTTCCTCCGATAATGAAAACCCGATAACGCAATGCCTGGGTTTTGCAAAATGACGTGTGCCCTATAAATAGTTTTGGGGATAAACGGCTGTATATTAAAGTAAAAGTCACCAGATTTTAGTGTTTCAATTCCTCTTCCTTCTCTATTATATGTTCATGAAGATTACATGGTCTGTATTTGCATCTGCTCTTAATTACAATTTTCTTTAGTTGAATTTCCACAGACCTCTTAGGACTTTTAAATAAAAAGCTTCTTAGAATTTCAACAACCTGCTAATCATCATTTCCCAAAGACTGGGTCACGACCCTCAAGTGGTTCGCAAGAAAATTATTTTGGGTTGTCTCGCATTATGTTTCCAAGGAGTTTATGAATAATGTCTATTGACTTGGGTCACGAAGGTTTGTGACTTTTAAAATACGGGTCTCCAGAAGAAAAAGTGGGAAAACACTGGTGTAAATGACCTAAGGTCAAGAAACTAACCTAATTGGACACGTTCCTATATTTAGTACTGATCTGGAAAATTACTTTTAGGATCTTTAAACATGTCTTGTTCATCTTTATATAGATGACACTTATGTTGTGGGAAGTGAGCCATGACCTATTGCTTCTTCATGAACTAGTTCTCAAAAAATAGCTATTTTTGTTAACTAACTATCTGAACTAGAAAGACTGGTGTCACAGTTTTCATGTTCTCACCTATGTCTCGGAGATAAAATTTCTTGGTGAGTCTGAGCATGAACTGCTCATTGATGGCCTCAGCAGTGATTTCAAGCCTGTTGGTTTCCTCTGCAAAGGGCGACAGTGTGTGATGCAGCTCAAAGTGGAATTCCCCATTTGAGGTTGGACGGCTGCCGTCGACCCAGTGGCAGGACTTTTCACCTTTAGTGCTGCAGAGAAGAGGACACACTGAGCAAGGCAGATAAAATAAACCAGAAATCTGTAACAAAATACTAAAGATTCTGACTTAAATCTTCCTGTGAAGAAAATGGTAGAATATTAGTTTCAGAACTGCAGATTTTGATTGTATTCTCAAAATGAATCAGAAAAGGGCAGTCATCTAAGAATGAGATGAGAATTCTTAGAAAGTTAAATTCAGATTTAAGACAGATTTTCGGATATTACTCCCAGATTATGTGGAAAAGAACACTGTATTTTCAGTAATGTGAGCAAAAACTTTGACTAAAAACTTTGACTAAAATCGTACTTTTTGGACTGACTTTGTTAATGGAGGCCAGATTTCTACAAAAAAAAGATGTAATAATTTTCCTAAACTCTTTTAAATATACCATTCAGGGCCCAGTCCGACACGCACAGCCGTGTATTCGTTGTTGTTCCATTTACAACTGAATCTACAGTGATACGACTCTGCCCAACAGCTGAGGAATGAGTCTGTGGAGGAAAAGAAATAACACCAGGTTAAACGGAACCTGCAGTGACGGCCAACATTTCTGTTTGTTCATGATGTATAACTGGGAGTTAGGGGTCTGTGAACTACAAAAAAAACATTTTTAAATATGGACAGAGCTTCAAGAATAGTACTGGTTCCATAAGAGGAACCGTTGAATGTGTTAGTGGTCGGTTCCTCTATTAACAGAAAAATAAGGACAAACCACGAATGAAGCATCTCACCTGAATCTTTCTCCCTCTGGACCTCCAGCAGCAGGTAGGTGGATGACAACTCATGGTTTCCGCTCCAGCAGGTGTATTTCCCCACTTCAGGTGTTTCAACATATGACAGAGTTAAATTTCCACCGTTCTGCTGATAATCAACATGATCGATTTCTATCTCTGCACTGTCATGTGTCCATGTGATCGATCCATTAACCGGCTCCGTGCTGCAGGTCAGCACGGTTGGGTTCTTGTTATTTCTATTGACCACAACAACTGCAAAAACAGATGCGAACAAATACATGTGCATCAAAGTCAGGCATTTGGAAAAAGTGTGTGTGTGGTTGCTTTGGGGTTAACATTTGGATTCTCAGTGGGACTTACAGTTTTCTGGAAAGTGGTTTAGAGCATGTGCTTCATAGAGAGCCATGAGCAGGAACCCAACCATCCACTGAGTCGCAGTCATCTACGGTCAACAGGACAGAGAGTGGGAAATACAATTTTGGTTAACCTCAACATCAACATCAACATCATCTGATTTATTTGGAGAAATTTGTTTAATTTCAAATTGCAAAATCTCTCTGTGAAACATTTATGATAAAAACGTTTTGGTTTTCAAAGTTCAACTTTTTCCTTTTTTTACCAGAATATCAACTTACAAAACAATTACAATGTTAAACTGCTGTACATTAACAACTTAACAAATAATCATAACGTTAAACCTCTGTACATTCTACCGACTGATTTTGATCATTTTCTAACCCCCATTTTTCATTCTTACCTTTTTTGATCAAAGTAGTTGAAGTGGTAGGAACAAAATCTGGAGCAGATGTTTGCAGTAATCTGGACACGAATCTGAATGATCTAACTGTCCACTGAGCTCCATATTTATGTTGGTAGGCAGCATACATCGTCACTGTCGTCATCATTACTATTTCGTCAGCGTGAAAGAGAAACTCAGATAAAAAGCTGATAAGAGTGTGTGGAGGAGGTAGCAGAGGCCATTTCCTCTGTTGTGTTTTGCATGTCAAATTTTGTAAACAGTTAAACAGCGTGTTTTTTTTTTAATTTCGGGACTCTGAAGTGGAAAAAAGGTGGGTGTATAATAGGGTGGGGGGCTGCCCTCCGCCTGTGAGATGAAAAGACGGATTAAGTCGTACGCAGTTGACAGTAGACGTTTAAAGTAACACTGTATCAATGAAACAGTGTTATATAGTACCTGATAGTATTAATTATTTAATTAGCAATGCAATCAAATTTTTTTATTAACAGCATTTATTTTGTTGTTTTGAAAGATTAACTGATTGACCTTTTTATTAATTAATTAGTAGATTGTAACATATATACATTATAATGTTTTTAACTTTTGGACTTTTAGAATCAACTTAAAGCTGACAGACATGGAAGAATTTGGAATTTTCTCTTTTTTTTCTGATGAATATAGATAATTAAATGTCAATACAATTGTGTCACTCAGTGATAAAATTTTTGTTTTTGTTAGTTTTTCTTTTCTTTGCCCAAAATCTGATTCAGAACCAAGGAATCGATGAAAAAACTGTATTTCCTGCACATCTCAACAGAACCAGGATAATGTGCAAATCATTGAAAATGTAGATATCAAAAAGTATTGAATAGTAAAACTATACAGTTGAATTAATATAAATAAATTAAATTAATAATAATAATAATTAATATTAAACAGACACGCACACACACACATCAAAGTCTTATTTCTAATCTTAAACACCTGAAGGTAGCGCTTATCTTCAGCCCCGGGGACCAGGTTTTGGTCCTCATTGATTCTATAGGTCTTGAAAAATGTATGACCATTCTGAAAGTTGACCCGAGAGAGCAACAAATACAAGAATATAATCACATGCACACACATTCACAGGACGGGCAGTAGCAGGACAGGGGCCGAGAGAGACATGGAGTTCCCCTGCAGAGCAGACATCTTTGGGACAACCCGGGGTTCATCGCCTTAAATGTCAATTTTCAAAGAACTGCAAATAATCATTTCAATCATTCAGTCAAAACACATTTACCCTATCTCTTGACTATATCTACCATGTACACACTGTTCAAGTGTGGGAAATACCTCCTTCGGCACCCTACGCGTTTTTTCATCCACATGCAGAGACCTGCCCTCATGTGTGGAAAATGAACAACTCTGCATGAAGAGATCGGAATCACAACTGCACAACTGGTTAGGTCATACAAACAAACAGTCCCCTTTACCATACGCACTATTTCCTTAAAAGCCTTCACACTGTGGTCTGTCATTATTCAAAGTTGTGATTCTTAGTCATGAAGGCTGTGTTTCATTTAAAGATACTTTTAGTTCTTCAAGACGTCAAGATCACACTTAAGTCTTCAGTTTCACATGAAACTGAACTTTATGAAGCTTCAGTTCCCTGGAAAGCAATGGCTACATGTCTGTAAATGAACTCTGCTTTTTATTATTACGTAAGGTCTCAGGGTCCTTCAATAGGACTGTAATACTAATCCATACTGTACTGTACAGTAACTTTTTTTTTTTTTTTTTTAAGTACAGTACTACACTATACTATACTGCACTATACTAAACCATACTATACTATACTGTACAATACTGCACTATACTGTACTATGATATACTGTTCTGTACTATACTGAGACAATGCCTCTGGGCCAAGCGCCACTATACTACTGTATACACTGTACTATTCTATACTTCGATAAACCATACTATGCTATATGTTCAACACACTACTATACTGCACTGTGGTATATTGTTCTTTACTGGTGTAGTATAATTCAGTATAATATAGTATAGTATAGTACAGTACAGTGGCGCTTTGGCCCAGAGGCAATGTCATTGGTGTGGAACCCCAGGGTTCACCTCCTGGACAAGATCAAATCCCAGATAGGGCATTCCAACAGGAAGTTATATTTATTTATTTATGTTTTGGTATCACAGTAAATATATATTTTCATCCCTAAGGACTTGAAAAGATGAAAAACCTTGAAAAAAAACTAGACAGCTACAAAGACATGAATCACCTCTTCAAAACATCAGTGGAAAGGGCATTACTACACTGGGCTGTAGACAATGTGGGAAAACTTGGAAGTGGAAACTTCCATCTGTCTGGATCTATTTGTCAATGAAGACATCGTCTGGAACTGAAGAAGGGAAAACCACATGACCTAAAGGATGTGAAACAGAATAGTAGACAAAATTCAATGCTGATATTTTCTTTGAAAATTGTGATTAGTTTAGGGGCTTTTGGGAGCAATTGCTGTGAATATCTTAATGTGCGTTTGTGTGAGGGGGCGTTTGATAATCACACCCTACCCAGAAAGTGGGGTGGGGGGTGCTGTGAAAAGGTTTCACCAACACATCAGAAATGCCAATCAGTTTTTAAATGTTGTATTTAATCAGTGTGTCTATGATTATGAACATGAGTTTACAGTCATTCAAATGCAAAAAAAGATGCATTTCCCTACTGTGAAAATTAGAAAAAACAGTTTTTAAATAACCCATCATATCACGCATTTCTAGTTACTGTTGACAAAGTGAAACGTTGGTCAACACAACAAAATGAGAAATGTTAACATTATCTTTATTACATGAATAATTCCAACAGTACATTTTCGATGTGTAGGCATCACAACACGGGAGAGACGGTGGGAGAAACAAAATGGTCTGCACATTTGATTGATTAAATAATATACCCTGTACTACAGGATTAGCTGAATAAGACAAAGGCGCTGGAAACATTTGTCTTAAAAAGTTGATTTCTTTTTTTTTTTTTTTTAACTTTTACTACAGCAACTGTAGGTGGTGTGATTAAAAAGAGGTTCTCTAAGCAGCCACAAAGCATTGACAGAGGTGATTAACTCCAAGCACAACTGTGGTAGAGAGTGGTGTGACAGAAGGATCTGGTCTGAAAGCTGGTCAGACTGGTGACGAGGGCTGGCCCCTGGCTAGTTTGCCTCGTTCTTTGATGCCTCGTCAAAGTTCTCAACAAGATCTAAATAAGATTACAAAAAAAAAAGAAAAAAAAAAAAAAAAGAAGAAGAGCAAAGAAATTAGTTCTTTGAAAAAGACAACTATAAAGGTGGCATATCAAAACAAGTAATCAGCTTATTTGGGATTAAATATTGCACACAAAAAAAAAACACTTCAGGTAAAACAGGATTGTTTGAAACCAAGACTAATATCATTAAATCTAATGAGATGTTTTACACAGATCAGTGACTATGGGGAATTTCAATTGATTATTTTTTTAGCACATACGATGCAAATCACTTTGAAACTCAAATAGACCATTTGCCTACCTGGAACTTCGTCATCCTCATCTTCGACGGCGACAACGGGAGCTTTGTTTTCTCCAGCTATGAAAAACACATGGGAGGGATTAATGAGTAACGAACACCACACAAACCCACAGAGGTTTTGACAAATCAGTTGTTGAGTTTTACCTGGTTTGGGAAGAGTTTCTGCTAATCTTCTCAGGCTTGTCAGACTGTCAGCTCCCAGCTGGTTCAAGATTCCCGGGAGCATCTCTGTGAGCTGCTTGTTTTCAGCATGTCCTGTGATTGTGAAGGTGTTGGCAGCCAAAGAGGCCTGAACTTTTGGATTATTGAAATGGATCACTGTTCCCTGGTTTGTGAACATATTCACCTAAGGTATGATTCACAGAGAGACAAACAGAACAAAGACAAAAGAATAAGAATAAGAAAAAATTAAAATGCTGTTTTTAAAACATGACATTAAGCCTTAAACTAGTAACTGCACGTTTACACTTGGCAGTGTATATACACACTTGCATTTATTATATAAAATCCAAACTCAATATTACCATTTTAGAAAATACCTTTTTATTTAAAGTAAGCAGCTGTAACAGCAATACATTTCCTGTAGGGATTAATACAGTTCTTCAGACTTAGATTCAAATCCATCTGTATTATTAACAATGCCATAATTTACATTAGTCACAAATAAAAACAGGTGAGAAACACATCAAAATAAAGCTTTGTTGTTATAATTAGGAATAATTTATTTTGAATAATCATGATTAACAGCAGCCCTGAGAACAACCTAATTAAAATCCCTATTTAATGTACAGCCCTAGTGCTAATTAATTTACATTACATGTTACATACAATGTTACATTAATTTATGATATAATTTTACTTATTTCAAACGTGCATTGTGTATTTATTGTATAAATGCTGGGTGTTTCTATATTATTCCTTTAATTGCCCAATGTAGAAACCTGAGCAAAAGCAACATTGTCTTGATAAATGTCTTATATGCACTCAAAGAATTTCCCCTACCTCCTCAATGCCAGAAATGTTGTTGACACCCAGTTTCTTGAGAGAGAACTGCAGCTTTTTGTCATCTGCTGTTGCTGTTCTGTGCACCACCTTCTTCTTTCTGCGGGCTGACCCCTGCAAAAACACAATAAGGATTTAATATGGGAAGCTATAATGGGAAACTATTAAGATTAAAAATGAATCCTCCAACTTTAACCAACTTGTGTGCTACTTTACCTTTCCACCTATGCGGACCTGCGCCTGCAGTTTGGCGAGCTTCTCCTGATTCATTATCGACTCCTTCATCTGAAAAGGCGTAAAGGTCTACTTTTACTTTGACGGTAGGCTTTGATTAAATAACAGATAAAATACATTAGCTTATTGATATCATTGAAGGATAAATCCCATAATCGTTTTACATTTATTATTAGAAGGGTCGTAAAATTACATAATTAATACAGAGGTGTGTGATAATTAAGATGAACACTCGTCTCACTTCAACCGATGAGTCGTACTAGAAATGGATTAATGGGTTAGTTAGTTTTTTTTTTCAAATCTTACAATTTCTCTGGACGGTCGTTTTGTGTTAACCGTAACAAGAATGGACAGCTGCCAGCCGCCCAAAAATAGCTCTACACATTTGTAGCCTCAATACTGTCGTAATCAAAAAGTAGTAGCCAAGTTCGTCTGACAACATTATCAAAAACGAAGATATATGTGACAGATACCATGTTTACGAACCTCTAAAGTAAATGTCACTTATCGAGGAACTTCAGACGACAAAACGCTAAACAATGCTTAACTGTGAAACCAGAGAAATTCACAATGTGGGCTAGTTAGCACACGATGTAACACAGCTAAAATGGGCCTCCAAAAACTGACTTCTGCCTTTAAAATAAATACTTTCTCACCATAGGACTTGGAATATACCGAAGGCGGTAGTTACCGGATACAGTTATTTATGGTAAATAAATTAATCACATAATTATGACAGGAATCGAAACGGAACACCTCGACAAGAACGTACCTGTGAGTGTATAAACACGCGGGAGCCTCCACCGACAGATGCCTGAAGAAAAAGACTAACAACCGGAAGTGACGCAAAGCAATTGCTAATCATTTGTTACGTCACGTGCGTCAAGTACTGCAACAAACGTCGTAATAGAACTCCTTGCTGTTTTACAAATAATTTATTTTTTAAATGAAATCCATCCAATAACATTAAAATGAAATATCCATAATTTAAACAATTATTTATATACATTTTAAAATAATAAAAGGTAAGACTCCACTTCCGCTCGCAATAGCGAGCGGAAGTGGATACGTTTACTGTAATGGCGTCCTCCTGTGCCTAGAGAAGCAACGTGATCACTCGTTAAAAATGATTTCCCTATGTTTCTGTTTAGGAGGGCAGTATCGCGATTGTTTTGTTTAATTACCGTTTTCGAAGACGACGTTTTAACTAATAGGTAAGCTTTTATCATTTAAAGAGGTCATTTGTACAGAAGGCTATCTGGCTAAGTGCAGTTCGCTTACTCGCGGTTGAGCAGCTTTGAACACGTTGGGCCGGGAGTCTGATTACAGACGGATTTCGGGTTCAATTCTACACTGAATTGTACCATTTAATTTGTGATAGCGTATTTACGTAATTTAACCTAGCGGATAACTATATTATTCAGGATCTAATTTTGATAGTCGGCGCATCAGTTTAAGAAAACTTTCGTTAAGTTCTCGAATTTGAGTTAAACGTGGTTATATGTTAAGGCTCCTTCAGCCCAAAACTAATAAAGACGATGCCATTTCCAGTTTTTTGGATTCAATTTTGACGATTTTTAAATTTTACTAATTGACTTGGCATCCAACCAAGCAAAAAAAAAAAAATAGGTGGAGACAGGATTTATACATTTTAGTATACATATTATTCTATTTTTCCAATAACATTAGGAAGCACCAAAAAACTCTTAGGCTTATGATGATATAACTGTATGTCTTTTTTTTTCTTAGGTATCTATCAATATAAAAATGGCTTCCTTCAAACCTACTAAAATCCAAGTCTATCCCAAACTTGGTGAGAAAGTAACACAAGACACGCTATACTGGAAAGATTATAAGGTAAGTGTCAGTTTTACTCTCCTCTTTATTGCCTTAAACGTTTTGTGTAACAATGAATGAAACACTTGAAATAACTTTTCTATGTATTTTCCCCACAGACACCAGTCCAGATAAAGGAATTTGGAGCAATCACAAATGTAGATGTTTCCCCTGTATCGCCACATAACTTTGCTGTGACAGCATTCACAAGAGTGAGTACATGGGAACATTGTGTATTGTTGATCCAAAACTCTTCATTTGAATTAATACTTTCATTATTGACAAAAGTGTTTGATAAGTAGCTTACATGTACTGTATATATAGTTTTTCTTTTACACACTGCTAGCTGTCTGCCTTTGTTTACAGATTATAACATACTTCGAGTACCTAGCCATAACTAAACCATTTTCCTCCTCTGAACCCTTTCCTTTACAGATTCACATTTATGGACCATTCTCCCAGGAACCTCTGAAGACATTTACAAAATTTAAAGACACTGCATACTGTGCAAGGTTCAGGTCAGATGGCCAGCTCCTCGTGGCAGGATGTGAGGACTCTGTCGTTCGACTATTTGATGTCAGCGGCAAAGTGGCGCTCAGGATGTTCAAAGGACACACAAAGTTAGTTTATAACACTTAAAGCATAATGAACAGCTGGTGTGAAGGACTAAATGATGATATTTTGAGTGATCCATCGACTGAACTTTATGATGAGCTCAAACATTCTGACAACCTTCACAAGGTCGTGCTGACCTCTAAACGCTCATTAAGTCTTCATTGAGAAAAACATCACAAATCTTTTTCTTTTTCAGGTCTGTACATGTGACAGACTTTACGTCAGACCAGTACCGGATTTTCACAGGTTCAGATGACTACACGTGTCGACTTTGGGACATGGCAAATGCCACGTTGATTAACACCTACCAGGAACACACGGACTACGTTCGCTGTGGTGTCACAAGCAAGCTAAACAGAGATCTGTTTTTTACAGGTGAGGAAAGAAGTGACTCTATTCAAATGATGTAACGAAATTGACCTTTTGTGTCCCAGAGACATTAATCCTATTTCAGTTCAGACTAACATTCAGTGTTTTCATCTTAGGATCATATGACCACACACTGAAAGTGTTTGATGCCAGAGTGGATAAGAGTATTATGACCATGGACCATGGTCAACCTGTGGAGAGTGTGCTCCTCTATCCTTCTGAGGGTCTCCTTGTGTCTGCAGGTATGATCAGCTCATACAAGAGCTCCAATTTATGAGATGATTGGACATTAAGAAAAGCACTCATAAAAATTATTTCTGTCCCTGAAGGTGGTCGTTTTGTAAAAGTGTGGGATCTGCTGAAGGGAGGTCAGCCCCTGGTGTCCCTAAGAAACCATCACAAAACTGTCACCTGTTTATGTCTTAGCAGCAACGGGGAGAGACTGCTGTCAGGTTCTCTGGACAGGTAGGAGACAGGTGTTGTAGATCAGTGTTTCCCAACCTTTCTGAGCTGCAACATATATTTAACATTCACTTTTTTAATGTCACAAAATATATGTAATTAAATATAATTAACTTCTGTGAAACTTACGCTTGTTTAGTTGAACACAACAATATCACTACTAGGAAATGAAAAAACGAAAATCTTCATTAGCATTAGTTCTTTTTTATTTATTAACAGCTATCTGCTGCCACCTAGTGGATGAGTATTTATTTGTTCTTACTGTCACCTCGTGGTCTCTTGTCATACTAATGTGCTGTGGCTTAGTAGTTGGGAATCACTACGAGTATGTGTCTTAAAATTGTTAAAAGTATATCACTGACATTGACAAAAATTACTTTTTGTTCCTCTATAGACATGTAAAGGTGTACAGCACCACCAGCTACAAAGTGGTGCACAACTTTGACTACGATGCCTCCATTCTCAGTTTGGCTTTGGCTGTAAGAAACACCACACAACGTTTGATTTAATGATAGCATTTTATCTTTTGAAATTATTTTAATTGTATAAATGTATTGTATGAATTTCAAAAAAATGAAATCATATCGTTTTGCTAATTTCTACGTACATAAACTATTTTTAAGCAATAATAACAAAAATTCTTGATTCTTGTGTCTTAATAACAATTATTAAGACAATTTTTATTTTTGCTGTTTGCCTTAAAGTGTCTCTCTCTCCCTCTCTCTCTCTCTTTTCAGCCTGACGATGAGTCAGTTATTGTGGGTATGACCAACGGTATACTGAGTATAAAACATAGAAAAAGTCCAGAACAGTCGAAGGAAGTCCCTGGCCAACAAAAGAGACGGCCTTCATACCGAGTTTTTGTAAAGGGGAAGAAGCGTCTTCCTAAACAGGTACTTTTCACATCAGCAAACACAAAGCTGTGGTCTTAAAGTCAAAGATGCACTTTCTTATTAAGTTGACCACCAGATATTATTAGATGATGACACACAGGTTAAAGTCACACTGTGAATGACCTTTTTAATCATTTTTGACTAATTTAGTTTGTGAGGCTTCTGTAAATTCCTTTTTTTTAACCTTTTTCTTTCACAGGATGATTATCTTGTCAGCAAACCAGTGAAACAACATTTGGCCAAATACGACAAGCAACTCAAGAAATTTAATGTATCTAAGGCTTTGGATACAGCTCTGGAGGTAAATACAGTACTTTTGTCAATTTGTCATGAAATGTGGGTATGTTTTACTAATACGTGTGTTTTTATTTGTAGACATGGAGAAGACTTAAGAAACCAGAGGTAACAGTTGCTGTTATAAAGGAGCTGGAACGACGAGGGACACTGAAAAACGCTCTGGCCGGAAGGGATGAACAAGGACTTTATCATTTACTGCATTTCCTCATAGGGTAAGAAGCGATGTTCCTTTGGACTTAGTCAGTGCTTTAACTAAATTGTAAATCGGTTTTAGTCCCAATTAAGTGAAATGAAAGTGTTCTTATTCTGTTTAAAAATTTAAGTTTTAATCGATGAAATGTGAAAATTATTTCAAAAGCCGTAATTAATGTTAGATTTAGACCACTAACATGCAGCGTGTAACGTCTTCATGTTTATATAATGTACTGAACTCTTTATGAAATCACAGTCGGGTTATTATGGCATTATTTAAAGGAACAAATTAGGGGACTTTTTAAACATATTTAACGGTTTTTTTATCATCTTACATAAAATTATACTGCATATATATTTTACGTATTCACGGTAGCACTTAAATGTTTACCAGTCAAATGTTAGGTCGTGTTTTGGTCTTCTTACCGCGTAAATCTCAGGATGACTCGCCAAACTCACAAAATGCTTCAAGATTGTCGCGTTTTTTACTCCACGAGTATGTTTTGACAATGCGAACGTTTAAACAACCTGTCTATTGTAACCGACATGTTTTGTTGAAGCTATACCACACTTGACTCCTCCCGCTCCTGGCCTCTCGCTTACGGTCACTATGATTGGATGCCCGTTTAGGTGTCCCGCCCCCTAGGCAACAACCGTAGTTCTGATTGGCTCTTCTTAGTTTACTTTACAAAATCAGCGCTGATTGGACTCTGTCCAATCTTTCTTATCTTATTAGCGGACAAATGCGTCAATATATTTTGCCATCATCATAAGCCCCACACAAAACTTCCCTCTTCAGTTTTCGTTTAGTTTTTGTCTTGGAAAAGAATATATTTGATAGAAAGTCCAGTAAGTTAACACTAAAAAGCTAAATGTTATTGAAACTTTGTTTGATCACTGGCCTTGGACACAACTATCTAAGGTGACATTTTGAAAAAAAAAAACGTTCTTCCAGGAACGTGGTGGACCCCAGGTTTGCTCCTGTTCTTGTGACTGCAGCAGAGATGATCTTGGACGTCTATCATTCGGTCATCGGCCAGTCGCCAGTTGTGGACCGTCAGTTGCTCCGACTCCAGGATCTTCTGGAGAAAGAGATAGACTACCAGCAGGATCTCTTGGAAGTCCTGGGCATGTTGGACACAATGTTCGCCTCTTCTGTGCCCAAAATGGAGGTGCCATGGTTTTCCACCAGCTGCTCTAACGGTCTGACTGAAGGAGAAGCGAGACCACCGCTTCATGCCATCTGAGGATCTAACCAGTGCAGTGTGATTTGGGTGGCAGTCATGGAGACTTCTGCCACCGTGACCCAGTAACAGATAAGCAGATGAAAATGGATGGATGGAAACTCTGGTGTTGACTGAGGCACAAAACAAACCTTTGTCTGAAAGGTCGTACACAAACCTGACATGTCAGGCTACATGTCACCAAAATGGGACAACAACTGAACATGCATTTACCCTATGAGCATGAGTTATAGTGTGTGTGATTTTGTGTGTGTACACACATTTGATCATGTTGGTAATGTATGCTACAATTTTGTTTTGCTACATTTGATACTGATAAATGTTTTATAATCAGATATATAATACATTTGTTTGTAAGAATACAATAACTTTGTTTCCTGAATTTCTTTCAAATATTATTTTACTTTAAGGTGACACTTCCAAAGGACTTGGATTTACAAATGCCAAAAATGGTTAAATTAAAAAATTCTGTGAATTAATTTTCTGATACTTTAATATAAATGAAGGTCTAGCCCTATTTAAAAAAAAAAAATCCAGAAATTGTTACACAGTTAATGATCTGACTAACTTTCTACAAATGACTTTTAACAAGTAATTTGAAGGGCATTATTTGTCCATAAAAACAATTTAAAGTACGTTTTAATCTTACACTGAACCGTATTCCCAGATTGTGTACTGCGAAGGCTCCAGATATAAATTCGAGACAACACGGTATTTAAAAAAAATGAAAAAAATCAGCTCGCTACAGGTTTTGCCTCTTCCGCTAGAGGCCGCTGCAAATCCAAAGAAAGCCGTAATTTGATAAGGGAATAATTTTTGCATGGAATCAGTCTGCAGAAGATCAGACCGACACAGGATGCTGCTACTGCCGCTGCTGGACTCGGCAACAGTGACACTAACTTGATAATGAGTCAGAGTTGAAAGCTGTTTTCATTTTATTTACTTTTTATTTTTTTAACGCGACGAATTTTGTTCGCTTATTTGCTTCTAAGCGCATCGCCGTGTTCCTTCTGCTCCAGTTTGAAGGTGAGTGAACTCAGAATTTCACGACAGACTCTCAGTTGTTCACCGACTTTTAGACCTGCAGGATAACAATGCTGAAAAAACTTAGTTTATAGTAATAATGCAACAGCATCTGATCTGAAATCGATAAAATAAATAAACGTACTCCGGCGTCTCCTCTGGTTCGTGGTTGGATCTTATTTCCAGAATCATATTTATAAACACTGAATACATTTGATTTGACTACGAAATGTTTTTTATTATTATTTTAATTAACATTAGGTTTTAAAGCGACCTTTCGATAACATTCGCAGCAGATGGAATCAGTCAATTTTCTCCTTTGGCACGAATAAAGTCACATTGAAGTACATGGAGTTGGAACACTGTGATGTACACTTAAATAATACTAAACAACAAATGTCAAAACTCTGGCTAGAAACAGACACTGATTTGTTTCCTTTTAGACCACATCTCACGACTTTGTTGCTGCATTATTTGAATTTCTGTGAATTTCCTTCTCCTTCTCCTTACACTTCAATCAACCAAACTCAGTTAAAAAAACCCAAATCCACACATAAAATAAAAAAAACCCTCCTATATTATGCAGATATGTGCAAAAAAAAAAAAAAAACCCAAAGTATGAATACTATGTTATAGTAATTTTTTAAAGTCACTTTAAAATTAATTAAAATTAAGAAGTCTGTTTTTATAAATCATACAAAATTGCATGATACAGCAACAGTATGATACAATGTATTTGAAGCATTTGTTAGACATAATAACCTTGTAGAAAAATTTATATTGCAATAATAATTGGTTCATCAGCCAGGCCCTACCCTGGCAGGAAGTTATCATCATTAAAGTCATTATTCACCTGCTGCTCAGGATCAAAAAGATTCTGCTGTCATCTCAGACCACCCCTGACTTTGGTTTATATGTTAGATAATCTGTTCAGGATCAGAGGAGCGGCAGAAAAAATATATAAAATGGTGATCATGACTGAGAATTTTCATAGATTCTTTCCACTTGAGGTTCTTCATGTCTCGTCTTTGTGTGCAGGTGCTGCGTCAATGAGGCTGAGCAGGAGGACAGTGCCTTTGTATGTGAGTGTCCCCACAGTTTCCTCCTCCATTTAAACTGAAGACATAAACTTTAAGGTCTGTACAAACCGGGTTAAGAAAAACCCAGGAAATCAGAGGGTCGCATTTATATAAACCAAAGCCAAACTTTAATTAACCGCATTTCAAAGTTTATCGAAATTTTAAAATTAGACATGTTTGTCACTACATCTAACTTATAGAACTTATAGAAAAATATATTTTTCTCCTGTTGATCAAACACTGCCCTTATTTGACTTTGTCAATTAGTTGTAACCTTTAAGTGCAAACCATTTGAGCAGTGAATCATAGTTTCTCTGTGAGAAACAACCACATCTATCAACACAGCGGCGACAATAGCAGCCTGGTGCTTGTGTGTATGTAACTAGGAAATCAATAACTCACTGATTCATTCACCGCATCATTTTCTGTTTGTATTTCTCGCTTAGTCACATTTGGAGGTGAACTGGTGTTTTTGCTCTCTTGTTTGATTTGTCCGATTATGCTGAGATTTTCTCTGTGTTGTCTAAAACGTTGTTTCCCAAAGACTGGGTCACGACCCTCAGGTGGGTCGCAAGAGATGTTTTTTGGGTTGTCTCACATCATGTTTCCCAGGAGTTTACAAATAATGTTTATTGACTTGGGTCGTTAAGGTTTGTGACTTTTAAAATATGGGTCCTCAGAAATACTGGTCTAAGGCTTCAGTTAAACAAGTTATTGCCATAATAACTTGATAATCTGTTTTTGTTTTCTCCAGAGGTCAACACATAAGATAAATGAAGGTTTTATTTCAACCAGACAAACCTCCAGTATATAACATCAGTGTGGTTTAAATGTTCAACAACAGCCTGGTCAGATGTTCATAAGAATGAGCTGAGATTTTTATCAGGGAAATCATATTAGCGTGAGAGCTAAGATCATTTGTTGGCTGAATGATTACAGCCACATCTGACGTGATTATTGCAGTAATAATGATTTCACGTTTGGGACGTAGGAAATACAATATGTTAAATGCATAGTGTTCCACTTTAGGGACGATCTGGGGAATTTTTACATTATATATATATGTACAGTGGCACCTTGAGATACAAACATAATCTTTTCCAGATACCATAAGAAATAATTAACAACTATGTATATGTATATACTGCATACCTTTATTCCCCTTCTTTTTAGTGCAATGTATAAATGTATATATTTATTTATTTATTTTTTTTCCCAAAGACCACTGCTTAGTCACATTTGGAGGTGAACTGGTGTTTTTGCTCTCTTGTTTGATTTGTCCGATTATGCTGAGATTTTCTCTGTGTTGTCTAAAACGTTGTTTCCCAAAGACTGGGTCCTGACCCTCAGGTGGGTTGCAAGAGATTTTTTTTTGGGTCGTCATGTTTCCCAGGATTTCATGGTCATCGCAACAGCTGTCTGCATCCAACCTCAAAATAGCTGCCAGTTTTAAAGTTCCACCTGTGGTTATGTTTCTGATTTTTTAAGATTCATAATCTTTTTGTCATTATTTTATTGACTATTTTGTTCCGATATTGCTGGTTCAATTGAATGTTAAATTACTTTTTTTTGTTGTTTAAAACTTGAGTAATACTAATTGTTCAGATATCACTCAGTCAACAATAAATTGTCCTCAGTAATGTTCAATAATGGTCAAGTACACATTTATTTTGTGATTTATCAATAATGTCTATTAACTTCAATGTCAATAGAGAGATTAGCGAAGAACAGATGGGATAGTGACAGAAGAGAAGAGAACAGACTGGAGTACAAAGAGAGGACAAGGGAGGTGAAGAGGGAAGTGGCCAAGGGCAAACAAAAGGCATATCAGGAGTTGTATGAGAGTTTGGAAACAAAGGAAGGAGAAAAGGAGTTGTATAGATTGGCGAGACAGAGAAATCAAGCTGGGAAGGATGTGCAGCAGGTGAGGTTGATTAAGAACAGAGAGGGGAATGTGATCACAAGTGAGGAAAGTGTGCTGAGAAGATGGAAGGAATACTTTGAGGAGTTGTTAAATGAGGAAAATGAAAGGGAAAGTAGAAACGAGGAACCAGAGACTAGTAGGAAGAAGGTAGATCAGGTTAGAAAGGATGAAGTTAGAAAAGCCCTGAAGAGGATGAAGAGTGGAAAGTCAGTTGGTCCTGATGACATACCAGTGGAAGTATGGAAGTGTTTAGGAGAAGTGGCAGTAAATTTCCTGACTGGTTTGTTTAACAGAATTTTAGAGACTGGCAAGATGCCTGATGAGTGGAGAAAAAGTGTTCTGGTGCCAATTCATAAGAAGGGTGATGCACAGAGTTGTAACAACTACAGAGGGATAAAGTTGATGAGTCATACAATGAAGATTTAGGAAAGAGTAGTTAAAGCTAGGTTGAGGCAGGAAGTGGAGATTTGTGAACAACAGTATGGTTTCATGCCTAGGAAGAGTAAGTTTCTTTTTACCAAAAAAACCCCTTGATTTCTCTATATCAGTGTTTCCCAAACTTTTTTCTGGGGACCCATATTTTAAAAGTCACAAACCTTTATGACCCAAGTCAATAGACATTATTTAGTCCTGGGAAACATGATGTGAGACGACCCCAACAAAAAATCTCTTGCGACCCACCTGAGAGTCACCACCCAGTCTTTGGGAAACACTGCTCTATATAGTGTCTGTTGTGTATGACTGAAGACTATTTTTCTACTGTGGATTTATATGAATGTGACATTTAGGTCATTTTTTAGTAATTTTTTTGACTAAATTAGAAATATTCCTAGTGGACTCACCACCTGCAGGAAGGTTTAGGGGGGTTGGTACGGTGCAATGTGATTTGGGAGGCGACTGCTGCCCCCGCGACCCGCTAACGGATAAGCGGCTGAAAATGGATGGATGGATGGATGGATAAATTAGTAATAATTGTATCAGAAATATCCAAATTGTTATATTTGTTGTTTTTTTACTGTGTTATGACTCCCTGTGCTTCAATTTGCTCAGTGCTTGATCTCAGGACCACAACATCATTAATGGTGAAGAATCGTAATGGTATTATTAGGTTTATTGTAAACAGAATTTTCTCTCTGACAGGGAAAAACAACCTGGAATAAAAGTAATAATAAAAGTGGAGTGCTCAGGTGAAAATCGGATTGAAGGATAGAGAGACCTGAACAGGCAGGTCAGTTGTCAAGGTGACATAAACTGATCTATGACATGCTGTTAGAAATGTTTTGTGAGCTTTTGAATCCCACTTATGCCGAACATTTTCTCCATGTGTAGCTTTTAGCTTCTCTGTGACGTCTGTTCATTCCAAGAATGTGTCCCAGAATAACCCACACAGGCTGTGCAGCTATCAAGGCCACAGCAGTTGGACATAATTGACGTCTTCATGGTGCCTGCTGAAACTTGGTTGCTTTTAAAGTGGAGGATGTTGGCTGTGGGCAGTGATATTTTTCTTCTAAAAGGGTTGAAAATAATATCCATGGCCCAACAATACCAACAATGTAAATTGTGTAAATTGTTGTTGTTGTTCATCAAAGCCTGATTATCCTAACGGGGACTGGGGTTATAGAGCATCCTAAATTATTCTAGCATTAAGTACATTGTTGCTGTGACTCTCCAGAAATTCCTGACAAACTGCTGCCTGATGTCTCACGGGCCGTAAACAGTTCTTCTCCAGTCATTTCCCAAATGCTTTTCTACAGAGCAACGGGAACTTCAGCAGAAACTGAATTCTTTTTTAGGACCCTCCATTTACGTCAAGGTCAAACCACAGCCATTGAACCAGCAACTCAGGACAATATATACACAATAAGTTGTGGTACATATACAGTATGTGAATTCCTACAGTGACAGTTAAGATTACAACAAACAAGGTTTTAGAGAAAACGGGAGTGTTCAAAACACTACAAGGTGAAGTTGTAGATGATGTTTTCTAGAGACTCTAAAACTATGGTAAATGTACCACTAGTGGTACATGGGCTCTCTATTGTGGGATGTAGCAAAATGTGATTCCCAGTGGGTTGTTAGTTGTTACAGCTGTTGTATCTTCTTAACTGCTCCCTTTTTTTGTACGAGTATTTGTATACTGGTGTACTGGTTCCCCTTGAAAGGCCGGTTGTAACTGTAAGACTGTACAGCTGTAACTGCTCCATAATGTATTAATACATGTTTCTGCAGCTGTTAATTATTTAATAGTAACAAATAGTGTAATTAAAAAAATATCAGGTCAACAAACTCAGCAGCACAGATTTTATTATGAGGCAATTAAACAAATTGAAGGTCCCACACAAAATGACTTGGCGGACCGCATTTAGCCCATGGGCCCCAAGTTTTGTGCAAGATAAAGGGCCTATCTTATCATAAATACTGCATTCATATTACAAATTTAAAAAAATCCACTATTTAACCTTTAGTATTACACAGAAAACTAAAGCCACTTTTTCTAAAATATCTGTTTGTTTTTTTTTAATTATTGAATACACTGCACCTTGATGTGGCTCTGCATTCAAAATGACGGTGGCAGCTGTGGCCATCTGCTTATTTGAGTTTGAGACCCCTCCCCTGGAGCAACTCACTCTGAACTTAACCTGCAGCCATGTTTTTTAAAGGCAGAAATCATTGCTGATATCTGTCTGACTGCTGGGCTCGGTGTTATTTTCCTCTGCCCTTTTTCAGGAGTCTAAAGTGTTCTGGTCTAAAGTGTTCTGGCACTGCGGGGATCAGATCTTTACAATAGACACTAAAAGCATTCCTGTTTTTATTGAGGGGCTTATGTTTTATTACACCCTGGAGGGGCGCCCTTTCAGGGGATTTGGTGTACTTTTGAAATACAATGGAACCTCAAGATACGAGCATAATCCGTTCCAGGGCCGGGAGGGAAGAGAGTTGGCCCGTACGTAGACTAGATTTCATAGCGTACCTTGCACGTACACTACGTAACTTAGAATTATCCATCCATCCATCCATCCATTTTCATCCGTTTATCCGTTACCGGGTCTTTGGGGCAGCAGTCACCACCCAAATCACACTGCACCGTACCAACCCCCCTAAACCTTCCTGCAGGTGGTGAGTCCACTGGAAGGTACCAACTGCCCTAACCGGGATTTGATCTTGCTCAGGAGGTGAACCCTGGGGTTCCACACCAATGACAGAGACATTGCCTCTGGGCCAAAGCGCCGCTAAACTTTATTAACGTAACTTTTTTTTTGCTTTAGGATGGTACCTATTCTGGATGTACTGCGATCATACATGTGTACAAGATCACTCACGTGGGCACCACGCCCATATTTATTGACTCACTACCATCCTTACCACTCACTCTCTTAGGACTCATCACTGTTATGAAAAATAGTGCACAAAATAGAGAGAAAATCACGGAAGCGATGCTTACGGCAGTTCCCGAACACGTGAAATGAACGAATGAGGCGGTGTGGGCTGCTGCAAGTGCTCGGCCACCTAGCGTCGGTGTTTGTAAGCATGTTCATATCTCCAGTCTTCACCCGTATCTCGAAGCAAAAGTTAGCTTGAAGGCTTGTTGGGACGGTCTTACCTCGAGGTTCCACTGTATGTACAACGCATTACTTAAAAACACACAAAAACGATTCTTTATGGTTTTGTTTTTTCTTCTTCTACTTTGCTGATTTTGACTCTCAACCTTTCTCAACTTTCTCTGTCACAGGGCCAGGCCAAGGTGTTTGCCCTGCTGGAGGGTTTGGATCCCGTGCCACCAGATTCAGAGGTCTACATCGTTTTGGAAGGATCCACATTAGTCCATGTCACAAGGGCTCACAATGATATCATGCTCTGCTTCATAGTACCTGGTATGTGCCTGAGTATTTCTGTATCTGTAACTCTCCATAAGAACTCTGTTTCAGAGTACAATATGATATGATGCAAAACATTTGAAAATTTGACACTAGATGGTACAATTTTAATGTCAGTTCCAGTTAAAATTATTTTTTTCTGTCAAGGCAAAAAAAAAAGGGTTAAACATTGGCTGATTTTCGTAAATAACGAACATTTGAAATTATATATTTTAATATATACGGTACATATTTTTGGTTAGACTATTTTATGGTGATTCTAAGACAAATTTTCATTCTTATTTTTAGCTCTTTTGGGTTAACTTTGAACTTAATAATGCTATTTACCTGGAAATTATATTCCTGTTATTTGTGGTTTATCTTTATTATTGTGAATTCTTGATTGCCTTGTGTGTAGAGGGTAAACATTTCACAACCATAAAGTGCCATTTAAATGAATGGATGGAGTGGTTTCTTCTCACTTTTTAAAAACTTAGGGGCAATTAATAAAAAAAAATTCTGAGGGCTTTAAAGCTTTTTTTTTTTTCTAGTAGCAGTTCACCTAAGCCCTTTGTTATTTCTGACCCTGTTCTGTACTGTACTCCTTGTCATTGTTTGACTTCACAGAAAGAGAATGCGTGAAGCTAAAGGGCATCATATCATTTTTTAAAATCTTGACACACACACAAGCACACACACTCTTTGTCATTCTGTAGACCGAGGATCTGGAGCGGCACAAAATCTTATCAGCTTCCTCTCAGGAGGGAAGCAGCACCATAAACAGTATGTCAACATTAGTGAGGCTGTGGTAGGCTGACACAGACACCAGGACTTCCTGCAGGATTGTGTGCTGTTCTCTGCAGAGTGTACAAACCTGCTGGAGTTCTTTTAAAAGGATTAAAAAAAGAAAACCCCGACAGTGTTTTTTTTCAATTCGCTGGATCATTGCCTACAGCCTTCTGACTTTCTCGTTTTTGTTTTGTACGTTTTGCCTTTTAACCTGGTATATAATCTGGTTAACCTGTATTTAACGTTTAATCCCAGTTTGTTGGTTTCTTTCTCTAGGACATAACCTGGTGGAGATGGTGTCTGTCCAGGCTTATCTGTGCTCTGAAACCTCACATCTCAACTGGGTGGGAGGAACTTCTCTGGAGTATGTCCAAGATGATGCTCAGGTGAGAACAAAAGTTCTACAGCATTATTTCCCAAAGACTGGGTCGTGACCCTCAGGTAGGTCGAAAGAGATTTTTTTTTTGATGCGTCTCGCATCATGTTTCCCAGGAGTTTACATAATATACTAATATGTCTATTGACTTGGGTCGTGAAGGTTTGTGAGTTTTAAAATAGGGTCCCCAGAAAAGAAGTTTGGGAAAAACTGTGCTACAGAGATGAAAAGAGTAAAAATTTGCTGCACTGATTATTCCCTGATTTTCTTGAAGGTTAAACTGTACACGTGAAGATTAATCAGATCAAATATTCTAACGAATTTTCAGGCCACTGTATATCCGATTAATTGCACTGTCTATCCACATATCATTACTATCAGACATAATTTCTTTTCATCAGATCACCTCCAGCTTAAAATACCACCTCAATGCCCAAACTTCACACACACACACGCACACACAACACACCAAGGTCCAAACCAAAATTTCAATTTTCTATGTTAATGATATCGTGGCGCTTTGGCCCAGAGGCAATGTCTCTGTCATTGGTGTAGAACCCCAGGGTTCCCCTCCTGGGCAAGTTCGAATCCCAGTTAGGGAGGTTGGTACCTTCCAGTGGACTCACCACCCGCAGGAAGGTTCAGGGGGGGTTGGTACGGTGCAGTGTGATTTGGGTGGCGACTGCTGCCCCCGTGACCCGGTAACGGATAAGTGGATGAAAATGGATGAATGGATGGATATATTAATGATACCATCATTTGGTCTAGCTAACGTATCAGGATTACTTGTAATTAATTGCAATTAAACCACAACTACACTCAAATCATATACTGTGCAGTACAGTAGAACCTCGAGATATGAGCGTCTCTACATACAAGTATTTTGGGATAGGAGCAGGCCCATCCATCCATTTTTATCTGCGTATCTGGGTCGCGGGGGCAGCAGTCTCCATGACCGCCACCCAAATCACACTGCACCGCACAAGCCACAGGAGCAAGCCTTCGAGCAAATTTTTGCTTTGAGATACAAGTAAAGATTTAAGATACGAGCACACTTACAGACACCGGGCACTCGGAGCTGCCCACGCCGCCTCACTCGTTCACTTCACGTGATCGGTGACTTCCGCAAGCATTGCTTCCCTATGTAGCGTTATCTACGTGATTTTCTCTCTATTTTGTATATTATTCTTTATGATAGTGATGAGTCCTAAGAGAGTGAGTGTAAGGATGGTGGTGAGTCAATAAATAGGGGCGTGATGCCTGCATGAGTGATCTAGCACACATGTAAGATCGCAGTACATCCAGAATATGTACCATCCTAAAGTAAAAAAAAAAACATAAGTTAATTCTAAGTTTATGTAAGTTGCGTAGTGTATGTGTAAGGTACACTATGGTATCAAGTGTCTACGTACGGGCCAACTCTCTTCCCTTCTTACCTCCCTCGTCCTCCTCCGCACATGCCTCCATTAGCCTCTACTGTATCGTTGTCCTGAAGGTAAGAACCACATTTTATTTTATATCACAGGAATCCTTATATATTATATTTTTTTGTGTTTGTGTATGTCTCTATAGCAATTAAAAACGTGTTTTTTCCATTGTTATTAGCACTAATAAGTCGCCGGAACGGAATTATTTTTTTTCTGTTATTCCTTATGGGAAAAAATGATTCGAGATATGAGCACCTCTAGTTACCAGCTCAGTCCTGGAACGGATTATGCTTCTATCTCGAGGTTCTACTGTATATATTATCAAGCTTGTCTATGCCGTCCCAGCCCAACTTTCTGTGTGGCCACAGCAGCTTCCAGCAATATTTGCTGTCAGTCATTGTTGCTTGAATCTCCTACAGTGCATGATTGCTGTATTCTCAGGACCTGGCGGAACACCTCGTCACCCACGGCCATTGCCTAACCTCCACGGATCACAAGGAGCTCAGAAGTCTTTTCTGTTACGGTCAGAAGAGCTCTCGCTCGGCTTTCGATCATCATGTAGCTCTGGCCATGGCCAACCTGGATATCCCCCGAAACTGGAATGTTCTTGGGAGCTATGGTAGAGCGGGTAAGAACAGGATTGTTTTTATCAGGCTTAATGGCAAACTATTGAGGTTATTTATGTTTTATTAGATACAAAAAAAAAGGCAATCTAAAATTACATTAGAAAATTAGAGACGACGAAAATATCTCTAAGCGTGGATAACCTTTTACAGATGTTGTTGACCTGAGGGTATAGCATTAATAGCACGTAGTTTTCAGTGGAGTCTAATCTATAATTTACACATCGTGTGATGACACAAAATTCACGAGTGCATGTAGTGTTTGTAGAAACAGGTTTTATGACATTGTCATCTCTGAGCATGAACCTGCTGCCGTCTGAAGATGGTGAACTTTTCACCCGTCCACCACCCTCCTACTTTCTCCACCATCACTCCCATTTTCCACACTATGCGGGCTGAATTCGGAAATGCACATGGTCACGTGACTTCCCGGTAAATTCATCAAAGCCAATTAGGCAGAGTGTAATGTAGTTAATAGCTTCTTTCCATCTGGAAGTAGCCCTGAGCAGAGCTCCATAAATCTGAGTGTGTGTATATTTGTGTGTGTGTGTGGAGCACCATGGCTACGGAATGCCACCATCTTTTTGTATGATGTGTGTGTTTGTGAGAGGCCACCTACATCAATAACAAAGTAAATGTTCTCCTAATACTGTTATGATACGGTCTGTTTCATCACAGCGGCTCCTCCAAAATGTCTGCCCTTAACTTGATAACGGGGCCCATGACATCACTGTGCGGCCGAGGCTAATTGTGACTGAATTAACAATGTGCAACTTCCCTTCAATTGTTGCCATTTCTGTACGCTTTGTTGTGGTTAGAATTGGGACTGCATTGTTGGCGGTGTTCTCACAGGAGTTTCACCAGCTCTGAGAAGTCAAACAATCACTCTCTAGAAGAAATGTGTCAAAATTCAGGGCCGCGGGGACCAAATGAGGCCCGCCAAGCCTTTTTGTGTGACACGCAGGAGCTTTAAAAGTCCATGCAGTAGAGTTTGTTAACCTGAGAAATGAAAAAAAGTCTGTTATGGAGTAGTTCATATCTATACATCTATAGCATCTATACCACCGGTCCTGAACTTTTATACTTTATACCAGTACTATGGTCTATGAAAAGTCTATATAGCCTATTGTCTTTGAAAACTGCTATAGTCATTTTTTAAGTTGGAGTATTAATAAAGTTATTTTAAAAAATAAAATCCTACAAAACGAATCAGCTCAAGTCATTTTTAAAGGCCATTAGAAGTCATTGGTAGGGTGTCCAAATGCTGGGATGCAGCCCTTTGTTTGCATTTTCTCTATTCACCCTATCAAATATTTTGGACATGTCATGGTGAAATTGTAACCTTGTGTGAATCTACACACTAGGTGGCAGTAATTTTACCAAATCATGGCAGCTTTCATGAAAAACCTAGAGAAGACGTTGGTTGCAGAGGTAGCATAGCATAGACCTAACACTATGAACTCATAATAATAACTATTCATTATTTTTATATTCAAAAAAAGGAGGTGGGACTACATCAAGGATCGGCCCTGAGCCCCTTCTTCTTTGCTGTGGTGATGGACAGATTGACAGATGAGGTCAGACAGGAGTCCCCATGGACTATGATGTTTGCAGATGACATTGTGATCTGTATTGAGAGTAGGCAGCAGCTAGAAGAGAACCTAGAGAGGTGGAGGTTTGCACTAGAAAGAAGAGGAATGAAGGTCAGTCGCAGCAAGACAGAGTACATGTGTGTAAACGAAAGGCAGAACAGTGAAATAGTGAGGCTACAAGGAGCAGAGGTGGTGAAGGTGCAGGAGTTTAGGTACTTAGGATCAACTGTTCAGAGCAGCGGAGACTGTGGAAGAGAGGTGAAGAATAGAGTACAGGCAGGATGGAACAGCTGGAGAAAAGTGTCAGGAGTGATCTGTGACAGAAGAGTGTCAGCTAAGGTGAAGGGAAAGGTTTACAGGACGGTGGGGAGCCCAGCCATGATGTATGGTTTAGAGACAGTAGCAATAGGCAGAAGACAGGAGGAGGAGCTGGAGGTGGCAGAGTTAAAGATGCTAAGATTCTCTTGAGGAGTGACAAGAATGGACAGGGTCAGGAATGAGGTCATTAGAGGGACAACACAGACAGGAAGGTTTGGAGAAAAAGCTAGAGAAGCCAGATTGAGATGGTTTGGACATGTGCAGAGGAGGGACAGTGGATACACCGGTAGAAGAATGTTAGAGATGGAGCTACCAAGTAGGAGACAAAGAGGAAGGCCAAAGAGGAGATATATGGATGCAGTGAGGGAGGACATGCAGATAGTTGGAGTCAGAGTAGAAGATGCAGAGAACAGGGAGAGATGGAAATCAATGATTCACCCTGAAAAAAAAAGTGACAAAGCCGAAAGAAAAATAACTTTTTTAAATTCCAAAAAAGAAAAAGTGGTCCAATCTGTGGTTAACAACTCGAAATGGGACATAATGGTCTCATTAAATAATCCCTAACCACTGTTCCAGTACCAGTACACAGATGTGGATCATTATATTGTTTTTTTCTTCTTTTACTTTGACTGCAGTCCAGTTACCTGGAAACTGAAGCTCATAGAGTGCAAAAGTAATGAACCACAAAAAAAAAGCTCTCATTGCTTAGCGTTGCTTGTTATTCCAAAGTGGGTCAGTAGAGCAGAGGGATGAGATGATGCGCAAAGAGGGAAAAAAAAACACTCTATTACAATTAGGTTAATTATCTTGAGGAGACAGCTGAGTGGTTTAATCGGCAGTACTTCTAAGAATAGACAGAATAATGATGGTTATCTTCAAGACAAAACAGCTCACTCTAAATCCAACTTTACCTTTTCTCTTTGTCTCCAGAGCACAGTCACAGGGAGTCCCTCCTCCACCTGGCCGTCAGGTGGGGTCTGTATCGAGTTGCGGAGCTATTGCTTTGCCAGCCAGGAGGATTGATGGCTGTTAGTCAGCGCAACGAAGAGGGTATCTCACCGCTGCAGTTGGCACAGGCGGCAGGCAACATTGAGATGCTGGAGCTGCTCACACAGTACGTACTGTACATAAAGTCTGGCTCACGTCTGGGAGAGAACTGAAAAAAAGTGTGTTTTAAAATAAAAAGGTAACAGAAGGTTGTGTTCAAAATGCACAAACGACCTTGGTTTAAAGTAGATCATTGCCTTAGATTTTACAGATACAGTGGAACCTCAAGATACGAGCATAATCCGTTGCAGAACCTTGCACGTAACTCAAGGTGCTTTTTTATTGGATAGTTTTTTCCCCATAAGAAATAACAGAGAAAAAAAAGTTCCAGCCCTCTAAATATCTCCTTATCTCCTTATTGGTGCTAATAACAATTGGAAAAACATGTTTTAAACTGCTATAGAGACATACCGAAGACGATTTTGTGAAGTGAACGAGTGAGGTGGTGCGGGCTGATCTTAGTGCTAGGCCAGCTAGCGTCGGTGTCTGTAAGCGTGCTCGTATCTCAAATCTTTACTAGTATTGCGAAGCAAAAATTTGCTTGAAGGCTTGCTAGTATCTCAAAATACTATATGTTGAGGTGCTCATATTTTGAGGTTCCACTGTAATAAAAAGAATAGATACAAAATAGATAGATAGATAGATAGACAGATAGATAGATAGATAGACAGATAGACAGATAGACAGACAGATAGACAGACAGACAGACAGACAGATAGATAGATAGATAAATAGATAGATAGATAGATAGATAGATAGATAGATATATCTTTATTAATCCCTCTGGAGTTCCTATTGGACAATTTAGGGACATTAGCTCCTGATCTAAAAACCATGTTATTTTGCTGTTAGCAAGCAAGCTGAAAATTCAGTTTTACATCCATCAGATTAAAATTGGTACATTTACAAATGTCAAATATGATCTGGTAGGGTGTTATGAAGTTTTCTCCTACCTATAGTTTTTTGCTCCGCGAGTGGCCGGTAGCAGAAATTTATAGCTATAGCTGAAGTTTTTTCCTACCCGTAGCGCAAATTTATAGGCATATCTGACATTTGTGTTCAGGGTGGTATAACATTATTATACACATCAAATCTTAATAAATATGTGTATTTATAAATACTATATTTAGAGTGATAGCACATAACTATAGATATGAAATCACTATAAATACGTGGTTCTGACTCTATTCAAAGTGGTAGCACATTACTATATGCGTGAAATCGCTATAAATACGTGCTTCTCAACTGTCCATTAAAGAAGAGGGAACTTGCCACAATGGCAATGAAATAAAATATGGCTTCCTGATAAAATGATCAATATATTTGTTAGTGCAAAAGCACAGTACATCCATAGACCATGTCAAGTAACTTCCATTCAAAAGTAACACATACCTTGTGGGTGATAGGTTGTGTCTTAGCCCACCTCCTCTGTTGAGTGGTGTTTTTTCCAGGTTGACAAAAATGGCTTATTTTATGCTTCTCTCAAGCCTCATCTGTCTTCCCTGGACAAAATGTGGTTTGTAACCCCTTTACTGCTACACACCACACCATCTGTGTAATCTGTCAAAAAAATCTGTTAGTTTTTATAAACAACACAACACTGTTATCATACAACGAATTAGGATCATATATATGTATGTATGTATATATCTATACATATGTGTATTTACTGTATATATAATATGTAAGTATATCTATATAGTATCTATATATATATATATATATACCGGT